GCTGAGCTGCCTGACCTGTGTTGTAAGTAGTGCCAATTTGTGGTCCTGCTCTTGGCTGAGGTCAGGATCTGCACTGTAGGGAGCTGTTCTGGATAGAGGCCTCAGAACCATGGTGTAACTTGTCTCCTAATCTGTCTTTGTCCCTGTCTCCTTCTATACTTGACGGCCTAACCCAGATCTGGTTTGTCACTTTGCCTTGTCTCAGACTCATGATGGACTGTGCTAGTAGCAGCATCTGGCTCTGGTCACTGAGATCTGGTGGCATGGAGTGCATTGCCCATGTGTGGCTCCGGCCTTGCCTTTTCTTAGGGAGCAGCTGGCCTTTGCTGCTCCCCAGCACCCTGAACTGGGTCTCTTTTCTTTCCATACCCCCCTCCTCAATTCCTAACTCAGTTTCATGCACGAATCCACGTAAGATGGTTTCGTGGACTTTGGGCTGATCCTCTAATCCCATCAGAAGAGCATTGAGAAGGTGGTTGAAAGAGCTCATAGTCAACAAGCTCTGTGCTGGCTTACCTATGCAGGGACTTTCACCTCTAGTCATAGCCAGACAGCAATATTTTGCCTCAAGTTAGCTGTTACATTAGTTTCAAAAAAAAGGATAGGATTTGAATATGGGCAATCCTGTCTTCCTCTTTGTAAAACTGGCAAATGCTTCAAGTACAAAAAAACAGCCTAAAGTATGTGGTAGGAGTCCCCGTATCTCAGGTTTTTTTCTGCTGATGGAAAGAATGTGTGATCCTTTCAAGATAATACTAGGTAATGATCTGTGCATGCAGATCATTTTGAAATATGTATAACTTGCTCGTGCTTGCCTCATCAACTCTCAGATTCCCATGATTTTCCTTCACCAGTTAAAAAAGAGCTGTATCACCGCACTGTATGAGCTGAAAAGGGAATTGCATTTGATTCTGGTTTTGTGGTGGTTAAAATCCAAAGCTGCTGCTTGTCATTCTTCTTGTGCACAGTTCATCTATTGCAGCTGTAAGCAACAAAACAAAATTACATGCTGTTTACATGAGTAATAACTGAAATTCTACAGATAGCTCACCTGTGGTTCAGCAGTGGTCAGAAAAAAACCCCATTTTTTTAAAAAGGCAGCTTTACACATACCGTGGTTTGCCCTACAACTGATGCTGTTCACAGCTGCTGACCTGGTGTGACTATATAAGTTTTTAAGACTGTGCAGACACCTCTGCAACAATTCATCAAAGTGTCATGACTAATAGGAAAAAATACACCTGTTTGCCCTTACAGTGATCTCCCTGTCTCAGCATGTGTGTGCCATTCACAAGCTGAGTAGTTGAAATTCCCCAGAGCATCAGAGTTGGGACATGAAGAAGTTGGCACGCTGGGTATGGCTGAGGAGTGGGAATTCCTGTGGTAGATATGGAAACTGTGTGGCACTCATGGTATTTCAGCACCTTAGCAATGAACAGGAAGGCCTTCTAGACAAGAAGGAGTAGATGCCTTCACAGCTAGCCCCGTTCTCTGTTCCTTCTCATTTATGTCATATTATAATCAAGGTTACTAAGAAAATAATAAAGTCATCCTAATGTGCCAGGGTAAAAATTAGTGGCAAAACAAAGTCACAGGATCTCTTTTACCCACAAACCTGGAGACCTTCAACTATATCTTGAAAGTGTGATCAGCTTTGTATGAAATTTGAATTGAGTTTGCAGCGTCTCTAGAAGTAGACACAGAGGTCCTGATTCAGAAAAGAGCATACATTTGCTTTGCTCCCTCCCTTAATTGGTCTGAATATGTTGTATAACAGAAGAACCCCTGCACAGGAGAAGATGCAGGGCAAGTTCTGCCTTCCCATGGTTTACAGGTGAGGCGTAAATTGTCAAGCAGTATCACTGAAAATCTCCTTGCCTCTTCTAATTCAGAAGACTCATCACATCCCATGGAGTAGCCTCAGACCCAAGGCAGAGTGCCATTCAACAGGATGCACAGCTAGGTTGCAGGATGCTGGGCTGAAGGCTCCTGAGTTTGAAGGAGGGTCCCCAGCTTCTTTCCCTGCTTATGACATCATGGACTAGATGACTAGAAGATACCTGTAAAGGTACCTTCCAATCCAAACCATTCTATTAGTCTATACATGTGAAATAAAAATTAGGGGGATGGACTACTACCCACATCTGGAGATTTGATTTGTTTGTCACTGAATGAATATCTGCAGAGCCACTCCTGGGCTGTACTGTTTGCTATTTACAGGATGAAGGTTGTTCTTTGTTTCAGCAATGAGGTTGCAAGGCAGCAGTAAGGGTGTTTGGCAGCACCCTTTCTAAAAGCTGCATTTTAGTTTGAAGGAGGGACTTAATACTTGTGAAAGGTGTTCGCAGTGAAGTTTAATCACAGAGGGGAAGGAAGGATATTTGACATTTATTGGAATAAATCAGGATGACTCAAATGGTGGGCCTGAGAGCAGATGAAGAAGGCATGACAGAAAATGGGTCTGTAGGGAAGGGAGAGTCTGGGAACACAGAGGAGCAAGAGAAGTCCAGACTGAAAGTGAGCGCAGAAGTTAGCAGCCTGTTAAATTCAGATGATCGAGAGAAATTAAGAAACATCAGAGTCCAGAGCTGGGAATTCTTTGTGGAATCTGATGATTCCTTATTTCTGCCTCAGATAATACCATTTATATGCCTGTTGTTGATTATATTACCCAGGTCAGTGTCCTTTCCCTAGCATCCTGGGAAAACTGAGGAGCTCAGAAGAGGAGAGAGAGAAAGAGGCAGGGCTGAGAGGAGCAGTGGAGTCCTGGTGTCCTTGAATGGCTCTTGCTGGATCTGGAGGGAGAAGCTGACAGCCTGGCTCTTAATCTTGCTCCTGCGGCAGCATTTGGCTGTTGGCCAGCTGGAGAGTGAATTACTGGGCCGATACGGACTTTCAGCCTTCTTGCATAAGCATTTAAAGAGTTCTCTGTTCAATATGCACCAGATAAGGCCAGGGCCCCAGCCTGCTTGCATGCTCTTTGTGTTTCTAAATATGAGTTGGGATCATATTTGAAAAGAATCTCTTGTAAAATGACATCCAGACTTAGTTTCTTTGTTACTCTTGTATAAATTTTCTATACTACTATATTTTCCTCACTTCCAGGATAGAAAATTCACTCTGTATTAATCTGTAATGTGATACCCAGCTGTAGTTCTTCTGCTTCCTACATCACCATGATTTTTAAAGTTCTTGTCTACCAAACTTGGCCTCACAGGGAATCAGGAGACAACGAATATTTGATGTCTGGTGGGCTTTCATAGTACAAAGGTAAAAGATGCATTTCCACTGTAAAACAGAGGTACTTTAGAACCATGCAGACAAAAAGTTCTCTGAGGAAAGGAGATGTCTGGTTTGCACAGTGGTGGAAAGTAGCTTCTGGTTTCAGGTTCTCAGTGCATTTCAAATATGCTGAAAGCATGCTAGTGAGTGGCTTAGCTTTATGTGGGTCACTTGCTTGAGTGCCAGAGGAGAGACTGCACTGTTGGTACCTGCTGCTAGGACAAAATGCAGCTCTCTAACAAACTTTGGAGCTAGGAGGTATTTTCATAGAGGAAGGCTAAACAGGCTTACCTTGCAGAAAGCTGTTGGAGGGCAAGAAACACAAAAAAGGTCAGATAGGGAAGGGAAAAGAGAGAAAAAAACACATCAGGAGAAATCTTCATTCCTCAGATTTTACAAGCCCTCATGGGTTTAGTGTCAGGGAAGCTGGCGTCATGTTAGGAATTCATGACTTTGATCACTGTCCCACTCATATGCTAGCATTTCCTAGCTGATGGCAGGGCAGAATTGGCTCCTATGTAAGATTATGTTCTGTTGGCCTTTTAGGTGATGACAACTACCTCCATTGATCGTGATATGTGTATGTTAAAGGGAAAAAAAATACATTTCTTGTTTGATTACTTTTTGTAAGCCAACAGCATCAAAGGAACAGGCTGCCCTTACTGCTCTCACAGCTGCTGCCTGTGTCTGTGCTGTATATATGCTAAATTAATTGGAAAAACAGGGACAAAAAGGCATTTAGTTTGGGTCAGCCAGTTGGACTACAGCAAATACATGACAGGCTTAATCATTGTCTTTTGCCAAAGTGCAGGTTGGCAAGGGCAGGCACTCCAGCCCCTTGTGATGAAATTTGAACTTTTTCAAGTGCCTTTGGAGACAGGATGCTGTGAGACAAAAGTCTCCAAGCAGAGCCCAGACACTGTCGTATCGACAGGGTGGGATGATGGGGAGGATTATGGCAGGTTATTTGTCTTTTGTCAGCTTTCAGCTTTGGTTCATCACACATAGCATGAGAAGGCACCAAGCTTTCCCTTCACAAAAATGATATAGTTAATTAATGGGGTCTTGTTAAAAAACATTGGTCACTGGCGCCATACTAAAAACACACATATGCAGCAATTTTTCTTACTCTGCCACCAAGTTTTGTGCCTTTTTCATGAGAAGGGACAGCATGAAAAAAAAATGCTCCAAAAAACCCATCTGTCTTAATGGCTTGCAAAGTCTGGGACTCCTGAAGTGGTTTCTGTATAAACATGCTAACTTGCACTTTCAGAAGGAGTAAACTGGAAAATGAAGGGCATGGGTGCAGTGTGGCACTCAAAGCTCCTTTTTCAATAGCCACGTGGTTTTGAAGATGTAAATGATTTTGAATCTCAGTATGTATTCCATATTGCAGTAAGAACTATTATGTAATACTGTGTGCATATTTTGCACTAATTGAAGTGATTTTCTCCTTAACTCCTTGGGAAAAGGGTATTGAGGGGTGTAAAGATTAAACCAAATATAAAGTTATGTTAAAATTGATTAGAGAAATGTTGCTAATAGTGGGGACACAGAAGAATTAATTTCCCATATTTTTCTTTCCAGGCAGTTGACTTCAATACATGTGCAACCCAGCTGTTATTCTTCAAGAAACAAGTGTGTTACCTTTATAGTGTTATTCTTTATTGTGTAGATAACCTGGCTGGTTTTGTTTTTCTTCCTTTTGTTTCTTCCAGGCCTTCTGCCTTATCTAGTAGCCCAACATACTCAGAGCTGCCATTCCTTAGAATTTCCCCGCACCGAAATCCAGCTGCAACATCAGAGTCTCCCTTCAGCACCCCTCACCCATACATTAATCCCTACATGGACTACATCAGGTCCCTGCACAGCAGCCCATCCCTCTCCATGATCTCGGCAGCCCGTGGACTCAGCCCAACAGACGGTGGGTTAAGACAGGCTTCCTGTTTTCTGTCATTGTAGCAACTTAAGTTATATTAATCTTGTCAACATTTTTCCCCCTTGTTCAAAGCAGCTTCACCAGGTTTGTCAGACATATTCATTATGTCATAAATGTTTCAATACTTCATCAGCCGATGATGGCTCATTTGTACATCTCACAAATGTTGAAACTTCAGGGAGAAGATAAAAAAAAGCTGCCTCATTCAAAATTTATGCTGGAAGGGTGGTATGTGTCTTGTGATATCTTTTGTTTGTGGGGCTGACATGGGGTGTAATTCTGATATCCCAAAAAATCCATTTTACTTGCACTTAATTGAGTCAGATTCTTTATGAGTGTGCATCAGTGTATAACCATGGAGTTCTTCAGGCACAAAAGGCTTGTTAATTAAAACAATATTTTTCAATCATAAAAAGCATGCACTGACTAGTTACATTTAGTCAATAGTTCTGTTGAAGTTACGTAGAATTATTTCAGCTTATCTTAGCCAACAACATGGCCAAAAAAAATGATGCTTATGTAGAAGTGTCTAATGATTAAGACTGTCTCTTTTAATCTAAATGGTGGGCAGTATACTTGAAATCCAGTGCTTTAGGTCTTAGTGTGACAATGGCTTTTACTTTCCAGCCTATTTGGGCTAAAGTGAACTCCTGTGACCACTCTTGTCATTACTCTAGCACATTTCCTATTCATTTCAGTGGGAATTTTGCCAAAGTGAGCCATCAACAGTGTTGCAAAAAAAGGCTGTCTTGTTAATAGTAGGTTTTTCAATAGTGTGTAAGCATAAGCAGTTTGACATTTCAAAATTGTACCATTTACTGAAGGGAACTAAAATATAGTCAGAATCAACTATATAGAGAAAGGTAATTAAACTGATACTTTAACTATAGGAAAGACCTTCCCAGTGAATTCAGAAACTTGCCAGAGTTAAACTGCCTTTAGCTGAATTTGAAAAATGAGCAATGCACCCTATCCAAACGGATAACTAATTAATCCTCGTTTATAAGAATATATACCTTTACAGTTAATCCATTAGTTATGGGCACATATTCTTATGAGAATAAATTTTAATGACCTATTGTCATTCAAGGTATATGGCATGCACATAGGGCTTTCCTAGCAGCACTTTGGATGTTGCATGAATTCTTCCTGATTCTACCCTTTTTGTTTTAGCAGAAGTATTTTTTTTTAAAAATACTTTTAAGAAAAAAATTTGAATGGTTAGAAAGGCAAGTTTTGACTTGAGGAGCTTTGAAGCTTTAGATGTAGGACAAAAATGACAGAGCTATAATGTAATTGCATATATTGGGAAAACTCCTGCGGTGTACATCTGGGCTTTTTCACAGGAGCTAATGTGCAGAATACCTTGCTATCTTCAATACTTTTCAGGTCCCATTCCTGCAGAATTTCATTTATGCTTAAGGTATGTTCCAGTGCCACATAAAGAAAGGTTTGAAGGAAACCACCTATCACCACCTATGGCATTAAGCTGTATACAGGCTTGGTCTCAGGTGTACCACACTGGATTCACTTGCAAAGATGTAGGCACAGTGTTCTCTGACCCAGCACCCAACTGGTGCTCCAGAAACATCCAGAGATGTCACAGGATAGAATCTGGATTCAGATTCTGCCACCTAAATGTAGATGTGTACAGTATAGAAATATGTGATCTTTCTGTGTTGTTCTGCCATTGTAGTCCAGTGAGTTGTAGGTAGTGAGGCCTCAAGGAACTGTTCAGTTCCCCAACAAATGTACACTTGGCATGTTAACAGTTGAGTCTGGAGCTCTGTCATAGTTATGATTGTGCTAAGGTTCATCTGTCTGCAGTGCAGGTGTTTGGTGTCAGCTAGGTCTGTGAAATACCCTGCCTCAACTCCACCTGCCATCTCAGAAATACAGTTTTCTTCTGCCAGCCTATGTAGCTTGGATACTCCCAGGCTTTCAGATGGCATTAGACACTCAGGTGTGGACAGTACAGCTGAGTACACTCTGTCTTAATGCTCATCCCCTGAGTTGTGATTGCTGGCTGTGTCATAATCTGTCATAAGTACATGCTAAATTTACTAGTTTGAGCATCTCTCTTCAGGTTTTAAACAAACATGTTGGTTCGCACTTGCTGTAGGCTCACAGCTCATCTTTGATCAGTTGCCATAGCCCTGGTGTTGCGCAGCATCCGATGAAAATACAGTAACTTGACTGAGGCATTGAAGATATCTCAATCAAACAGCATGCTGTTGAAAAGCTTCTGGTTTGTTCCCTGGAATCCATAGTCTGTTGTATGATCAATCAGGTATACAATCAGCCTTTTCTCAGATATGGGTTCCTGGGATCAGAGAATCTGAATCATGGCTTGAGCACTTCTAGAATGCAAATGAAACACTCCTGTGCTTTAAAGGGGTACATGCACCTAACCTACTAATAACGTAAAGGACACCATGGCTTAAGTGATATAGTATTTGAACTCTGAAAACTTGGAAGTTGTTATTGCTCTTCTGAAAGCCATAGTGGGGTTTCTCTTGCTGCCTAATTGCTTTGGGACATTTAGATAATCAGATCAGTATACTATTGGGCTCAGTCTGTCAACTCACAGATCTGGGGTTGGCCAGGAGCCAGAACAATCTGGAACATAACTCTTGTTGCTTCTCCTTAGCCAGCAGATTTGGTGGGTCAGGGGTGGCTGAGGACTTCTCCGAGGATTTGAACTGCGGTAAGGATGGAGTTGTTGGTGTGTGTTGAGGAAAGTGCTCAAATGAAGCTCAGCTCTGCCTATGGTGCAGAAGCAAATGCCTCTGCTTATAGGAAAAGGGAACAAAGCTGGAGCTACCCAGGAATAAACAGGAAAAAATTCAGGACTGAGGGTCTTCCCATTTACCTGTCATTTGCATTTTCCCTTCATGCAATACATCATTTAGTAGGCTAATTTTTTATGTTTGAGAGAGGTAGTAAGGAATAATTTTTTTAGAGCACCAGAACATTTCTTGGCATATGAAACATTTAGAACATTTAGTAATTATGTGTTCACTATGTTTTTTGCAGCAGTTAATTCTAAAGTTTGCAGCCAATGTTACTGCTAGTTAACCCAGACACTTATGTCAGAAAGCTCAGGAAGTATTTTCAGTCTGTCTGGAAATATACCATGGTTGCCTACTACTGTAAAACTTTAAAATCAGTGATTCAGTGTGAGTTACCCATCTTTTAAAATTTGGTCTGAATTATTTCTTTACCATTTCACAGAAAGTGGAAAGATCGTATTTATTATGAAATCAATTTGTAATTTGAAAAAATACCAGCAACTTTTAATTTATCTCACCTCATTTTATATGCCATTCCTATTCCTGTTTGATATCCATCTATTTTTCACAACCCTTTCTTACATGTTATGTTTAACATTTCAACATCAAAAGCACATTCTTTCATTTTACTTGGTAGTAATAAAGGCAGACTATACACTTAAGCAATCTGTTGCTGAATTAACTTTTCTCCAAATTCCAGTGCCTTGTTTATGTTGAAAAGAACATTAATTAAAAGTGTAAATCTTAATTCTTTGTTTATAAGGTTTGCATTTAGGATCTGATTTTCTAATGAAAATATAAATTGTCTTTAGCTCTGTGTAGGTAACAATATTCAAAGAATTTCAGCCTGACATTTTGTTTTCATTTAAGATTCAGCTGCTGAGATTAAAGAAAAATCACATTGAATGATATGAAAGAATATAAAAATAATCTGCTGTACCAGCTTGGGGTGCAGCGCATTGACCTAATGAACCCTAAGTGTTTTAGGCAAGCTTACATATCATCTGTGGTGACCAGAGTGTAAACTGTTTTGCAAGTGGGACAGGGAGAGACCAGAGAGAAGGGCTGTGCACCTCAAGTTTCATGGCAGGTCAGGGTCAGGATCAAAGAGGGGGAGCCCAGCTTATTTTATGAGTACATCTTACTCAAGTTTATGAAATGAACATCTGCCTTCAGTAGCATCTGAAGCCTGCTGAGAAGAGATGATCTTTAAGTGATATCAATTTTTATATTTGTCCAGGGTTTCCCATTAGTTGATGACCTGCTTAAAAATTGGAGGGGAACAGGAAGCTCTCATGTTATTTTTACACAAGAGAACAGCTAATACAAGTAATTTTCAGAGTACTGCATCACGATAACCTCACTGATGGGATGTAAAGTCTATTCAGTCTGTGGTTTTGACTCTGCAAATAGGCTTGTGTGTCAAGTATATTTATACATGAACTTTGAAGGATGATATGGTCACATTTATTGACTTCAGTCTGTCCTCTTAAAAAAGTGACCCTCTGTTGTTCATGGACAGCTATTATTTGTCCTGGAATCATGCTTTATCCCTGTTTGCTACTAAGCACAGACGCAGAGGAACATGGTGAGGGAGAATCTTCTAGTCTCCTAAGCAGAGACTCCAGATACCTGAATGCTTATGAAGTTCACCCTGTTACCTTAGAGACAGATTCCTCTGAGCCAGGATGAGGTAAATGTGAATAAAATGTTAGGAAGGTTTTCCTGCTTTTTTATGTCACTAAATAAATCATACTAGTTTCCATTGCTGTCAGCCTGTCACTTTTTGAGTCACTTAATAATAAACACAAAAATATGAGATCACCAAGCTCATTAATATTTTAGGTCTTGCTGTTTTTTGAATGATGTCTTTACCATACCATTGGTTGAAATATATTGACCAGTGGTGGCATAGTGCAGACACTGCATTACATTAAAAAAAAACCAAGCTGTTTTAATGGCCAGAGAAACCAGCAATGTGATAAAACTTTCCTTCTTGTTTATCTTATGTCATTAACGGCACTTTTATGTTGTTTTTTTTAGCTCCACATGCTGGCGTCAGTCCAGCTGAATATTATCATCAGATGGCTCTGTTGGCAGGCCAGCGCAGCCCGTACGCAGACATCATTCCTTCAGCTGCCACTGCAGGAGCTGGGGCTCTTCATATGGAATATCTTCATGCCATGGATAGTGAGTGATATTTTCTAGAAATACAGATGGTCCTACAAAGGGAACCACGTGGGTTGTTCGTAGTCTGACCCAAAAGGCTTCCGTGTTGATAGAGAAGTGGGAGTCAACATAAGCCTCCTCATGAGGCTGGAGGGCCAGAGAATTCATTGCCAAATGCACAAGGGTTATGTCAAGCCTAAAAGTAAACTTTGAAAGAAAGTAGGGAGAGGAGCAGGACTGCTCCTGAAAACAGGTTATAAATTTTATTTCTAGAAGGGCTTGAGTGCTTTTGAAATTGTCGTATTCTATTGCAAGCAGTAACTCACTTTCATATTTAGGCTGAGTATTTCTCTGATGAGCTCTCTGTTAACAGAAAGTTTACATCTGTTTTTCTGTTAGGAGAGCATGCCGTGAACCTTTCAGAGAGTGCTAGCTGCACTTACAAGTTGTGTATCATAGACCAATAGACCAGTGACCACTAGTAAAGTGAAGCAGTTTGCTTAATTCTCAAAGATCCTGACTTAGTTTTCCATAACATTTCCATAATATTAAGAGCCTTCTTTATCCACTCGGTATCTTTCAGTCCTCTAATCTGTCTCTCTTTCTCTGTTGAAGGAGGAAAAGAGAGGACCCCATTGCAAATTGCTTGCTACTGCTTCTTTTGATCAGACAGAAGGGATTTGCAAAGCATTCCCCTTGAGTCGTAGATGCTTACATGCTTTTCAGGATGGACTCTGTTCCTTCTGATGAGGGCAATAGAAAATGCTGGCAAGAAAGGGTGGTGACGTTGACTTTTGCTTGGTAGTACAGACCAATACAATAGTGTTAGACAACCATATTTTCCTGTAGAATTCTAAACTTTTTGTTTACATGCAATTTCTTCTTCCTGCTGTTGTTGCACACCATAGTTGGTGATCTCAAGGAGTGTGGGTGTTGGGCGGTTAACCTCTGGGATATATAGAAATATATATAGCTAGCCCTGCAAAACACATGCCTTGGAATGTGAAGTACTTGATTGACCAATAATTTTTATCAGAGTCAGACAAGACAGTTGTGAAACTTTACAGGAAGAATTTTTTTCATTCTGTTTCCTTGCTAATGAAGGATTTTTAAAATTAATTTTCTATTATCAGTCTCACTGCACCAGTAGTATGCATAAAGAATTTACAGTAACATACCTTGAGCACACTGCAGAAGCACAATAAACTCATGCAAGTAGTCTGGACTTAAACCAGAAATTAATGTGCAGATTTAGGTACTTGAAAGCTTAAGTATATGATTCTTCCTGATTTGGATTTTGAGAGAGATAGGGAGAGATGAGGCACACTGCTAAACACTGAATGCCTATTAAAAATACCTTGCAGAATGGAAGCACTGTTAAATGTGGTTCAGGTAATGTAAATTTGCTGCTGTGTTCCAGCTGCAAGGACAAATCCACAGCTTGCATGAATGGGCATGTCTTCCTTGAAAAGGATCGTAAAATCATAGAATAGTTTGGGTTATAAGGGAACTTTAAAGGTCATCTACTAAAACTTTACATGTAATGAGCCGGGATATTTTAAATTTTCAAGGGGTTTGGTTCCTACGGTGAGAGAGTGTGTCTGAATGCACATAAATAGCAGTACCAAACTGCATTCTTGGATGCAGATTTGATCTAATGGGTTTATTCAGCCTTTAGAAAAGTAGATACCCATATATTCACCAGAAGACTTGCAAAAACCAGATGACTTTGCAGTACTCATACAAATAATGGCATTTGCAGAAGGATCTTCCTGTGTTAATAGAGATTGTATATGTTGTAATCTACATAGAATTGCATCTTTTCTATCCCAAGAATGTTATCACTTCTTACTTAACAGGAAATGTTTTGACTTTTGCCCATAATTTCATCCCATTCATAAAAGGTAACTAAACTATTTGTGTTCACCAGCTCTAGCTAGGATACATTTGAAATGCACACTTTAATTTCTTTTATGTTTGTTTTCAGAAATTAAGATCACACATTTAAGATTAATTATACCAGCAACTTTTCAATTAGGCATTTTTTCAGAGTTAGAGACAAAAACTGTACTATTATGCAAATGGGTTATTTTTAAACAGTAAATAGAGAATTAAAATGAGTGAATCGTAGTAAGGTCACTCAGCTCACCTTCTGTATTTGATGAGAATGTGTTTAGTCAGGCAATAGCTGCTTTTATCTAAATAGAGTATGAAGCTACCCTTTTACTTTGTAAAAACTAATTAAAACTATCTTAACTTGCATGGGTATACAGTAAATTAATTGTCATTAAGTAGGAAGCTGAATGTCCTATCATTCATCATGCAAAAGAAAACTCCTTTCTTCTTTGTCAGATTTTTAGATTAGAAAGGAGAACAAAACAATTAGCAGGAACTTGATATTAAGACTTTATAAAAATCCCCAGTAACAATGCCTATTTATGCATTTAATAACAAAATACAGTGATCAGTTGGAAGTAATGCCATTTGTTTGGATCTTTCTTCTTAAGGATTTGTATGGTTATCTTAAAAGTAGTCTTTCGCCTTTGCCCAATCTTGTCTGCAGAAGACACATGAGTAGCTTCCCTCATTATATGCTATTAAATTCTGAGCAAGTTGACTCAACTGACTGAAAGGCTGCTGTTCATTTATCCCACACAACAACTAAATAGATACAAGCAAGACATTGTTTTTCTTTTGTAAAGCAATTCTGTCTCCTAATTGTATGCTTATACAGCATCTAGCACAGAAATTTGGAATCTCTATCCTCTCCTGTAGTGCAAATAATAATTCCAACACCAGCATACACTGAGTTCCAAAGTGTGTTACATACAGTATATGTAGTTTGGGGTTTTCTATTTTGCTCTGTGGTTCTGGAAAACTGATTTCAAATGGGGATTACAGGAGTGGGAGAATTGTTAATCAGAGGTATATCTTACCCAAGGGTCAGGAGACTTCTTGAAGCTCTGAACTTCACTGTCCATTAACTGTCTAATACATTGCAGAAGACTAAAACCAAGATTATGCATGTTTAATTGTAATTCTTCTTCCTCATGTCCTGAGTGGCATGAAAACTGGACCAAAATTTTCTCTGTTGCTATAAAGCTTTTCTAAAGTTTTGGTGGCCAGAGATCCTGAGCAAGCCTTGCCATCTTCTTGCTTGTCCAAAAAATGTCAGATTTGTTACCTTCAAGTATAGCATCAAAATAGGAGTGGAGTGGGTATGGAAGTTATTGACAGCACCACAGTAGCAAAAACTGAAATTACTTGTTGGGGCTGCAAAGATGTTGAATGCCAAAACTGTCTTTAAGCACTATAATTTTAAAAATCACTGTCTTTCGGGTTGATAGGTGTATTTTTCACTTGGGGAATATGTTCTACTCTCCTAAATGAGGTTCAGTGGAACACAAACATGTTCCCTGAGGTTTCAAGATTCCAAATTATTAATAACCTCATTCAGATTTACTCTTGTCTATCCTCACTCAGAACAGGAGTTTTCTCTTTTTCAAAGGTATTTGGTAATGACCTACTCCTTTTGCCATTAGAGACTCTGACCCAGCTGACCTAAGGAGTTTGGGCAGCTGTGGTGCATTGACCTTGGCTGGAGGTCAGGTGCCCACCAAACTGCTCTATCAGTTCCTCTTCTCAGCTGGACGTGGGAGAGAAAAACACACGGAAAACAACTCGTAGGTTGAGATAAGGCAGTTTACTCGGGCAAAAGTGAAAGATTGCATGTACAGAAGCAAAGAGAATACAAAAAATTTTATTCTCTACTTCCCACCAGCAAGCAATGTCTGTCCACTTCCTGGGAAGTGGGGTTCCAGCACATGGAGTTGTTGCTCTGGAAGGCAAACATTGTAGTGAATGAACATTCCCTTACCTGCTCATTTTCTTAGCCATTATGTCTGAGCTGACATCATAAGGTGTGGAATATCCCTTTGGACAGTTTGGGTCAGCAGGCCTGGTTGTGTCCCCTCCCAGGATCTTGCTGACTTCCAGACTACTGATGGGAAGAATGTTGGAAGACAGTGCTGTGCCAGCACTGCTCAGCAGCAGCCAAAACTTCTTTGCAGCTACCACTGCAAAGCACAGCACCGTGAGAGCTGCAGTGGGGAAAAAAATGTATGTTATCTCAGCCAGACCCAAACACCAGCCTGGAGAGTTAAGCCAGAGTGAGAAGCTTTGGACTGGGTTTGGTTTCTGTTTGTCAAAGCACAGTTGGAGAATGAGGATGGAGTATCAAAGCCATTCCTTCTCTCATCCTGATGATAGATTTATCATTTTGAAAACTAAGACAAAATTTATGATAAACTTTTATAAAGTGAAAACAAAGTTTTTACACATCTGTAAGCAGAAGTCAGAAGGAAAAGAAAGAAAAAAGGTTTTACTTTAAAGCCATCCCCATGTTCATAGCCTTCAATAAAGACCAGTGCCTGAGACATGTTCAAAGAAGTTTGATTTAAAGGAAGGGAGTAAAAAAGGTTTGATGAAGTTTGATTTAAAGGGATGGAATAAATGATACATGTCTGAAGATTGCCTTATAAATGATTAAGCAATGCTAAAAACTTCAACTCAGAAATCAAATTCATGGGCAGATTTGCTGGATGGCATATTCCATTTTTGAAATTTATGATGGAGATAGATATCTGTTATTTTAGAATTGATCTCCACGTCAGAATAAGATCTTTTCTTCTGACACCTGCTGGATTTTTTGTTGGCACACTCGAGTCTTTACTCTCTACTAGTGACTTTTTATTTCTATAATGTCTACTCATAAAGGGTGACATTTTTAAGCAAATCTTCACTGTCAACTTCCATTTGCATGCTTTGCCAAAGCTGGTGTTTTTTTATCACCACTTCCACAGAGGTAAATGGATTTTTAGTGAATCAGTGCTCCTTCATTCTCTGATTTTAAAGCATTATTGAGTAGGGAATGTAATACTTTAGTGGGAGAGCACTGTGAGCAGATGTACACCTCAAATTGCTAAATAAATATTGAAGTGTTTGTTTTTTAAATAAATGCTGGGCAAGGCTGGAAAGTTTGGTTTAGTATTCAGAGGCACGGACAAATTGTGACCTATTCCTTTTTATAGTAGCATACTAACAAATTCATGTTATGCTGGATGAATGGTTAAACAAATGTCCTGTAATGAGTGGCCAGCTCATGCTTAAGACTTTTTAGGCATGTGAGATCTAATTAAACCACAAAGATAGGGCGAAACAGTAATTCCATTCAATTGTATTTTCAGTTTTAGAAGTTGTGGCCCCCCTTGAATTGAATCCCTGTCTCCTGTGCTCAAACTCGGTAGATCTCTTGCCTGGCTGAAGCAGAAACGTTCCCTTTTTGCAGGATCCTGCAAAATCTCCCTTAGGAGATTGTTCCTGTCGTAGGTAGATGGAGGGGGCTGCTGAATTCCCAGAGCTAGATGGGGCCTGAAACAGGTGCTGCCTGGAGGAAGAGAGGAAGCCTGAGACTACTGTATGGATGGCTCAACCCCTGGCGCTGCCCCTGACAGGAGTGTCTTTCTCCATCTCTGGCCACAGGTCTGGTGCATCCACTGTGGACACAGGGATGCCCTGGCAGCAGCTGGCAGGCAAGGTGAAGGTGTAGCAAGCAGTGGGAGACATGCAAGAGCCATAGCATGACATAGGCAAGGGGTAAAGGAGACTGATTCAGTCCAGAAAGGGTGAGGAGGAGGGAAGTCTGTACAGTTCTTGAGACTGTGCAGGACACTGCAGGGAGTATAAGGTCTGCACTTAGCTATGCCCTTGTAAAACCATGATAAAGCACTTGAATTGTATCCTCATCTGGGGTAAATTACATTACAAGCACTAACTTCAGAGGCATTGTTTTAATTCATTCCAGCTGAACAGTCAGTAGAGAAGAATTGTGGATTAAAGATGCAAGTGCAAATTACTACTATTTTTGTTTTACCGTGACATGTATGTTGTATTTCCTTGTTAGATATATTGCAGTTTCTTATAGCTGCTGATCATTGTTGTTTCTTATTTTAGCACAAGTAAAAGATCTCTGCCTTTGAAAAACATGAAGCATAGCACTAATAAAATATCAGACACAATACAATAGCAAGCTCCTGAAAGAGATAAAACAGATTACAAAAAAATAGCATGTGGTAGGTTTTACAAATAAATAAATGGCTATACCTAAATTTTAAATGATTAATCAAGAGCTTGAATATTCATTGAAAGGCTGAAGCTGTGTGGACTAAGGCTTATTCTGGAGACAGAGCAGGAAGGAACAAAACTCTGTATTACTGAGATGCCAAAGAAGATAAGGATTATAAATGGAGATCTGATCACACAGTCACAATAGCAGTAAAATGTCAGCCCCTGATACTGTATTAAAATCTTGGCAAGCATGCACAGAAAGAAGGGAAGCCCACTCAGGTGTGTAAGAAAGCATACTAATAGATTCTAATCTAGCTCTGATCTTGAGATGAGTCTAATTAGAGTAATTTGGGCTCTTCTCCTGGTTATTGTTAGACATGTAAGCTTAAATACCCTGCAAAAAACAAAAGATTCTGGATGAAAAGATGTTAAGAAAGGCAGACCTGTACTGGATGCTTGTGGCCAGCTGTGAATTGTTAGCAAATTACAGAGAATGTCAGGGACTCTAGGAGAAGTAGCTGTAAAGTTTGAAGCAGCTGTAAAGCTGCATCAAACCCAAGACGTCCATGACCCTGGCTGTCAGGATCATTAGGATTCAGTGCTTTACTGTAGGTTAAAGGGATTAAAAAGGTAGAAGCAGCAGTACTGTTAAAGGAAATTGTTCAGTGTGCAGTGGGGAAGCTAATTCTCTCCTTACACTCAACCAAGATAGAAAATAATTAAATAAAGGCAATAATGTAAGGTGATATATCTTCTGTCAGGACTGCAGAGAGTTGGGATGACATGGTAAAATAGATCAGAAGAGGTAGAGGTTTTCAGAACAGGACATAAAATTTAGAAACATAATGTGTATTTATTTAAGTGGTATCTGTATGTTTGCCTTCACTTTGCTGCTTTGAAAATCTAATCTCCAGTTTTAAAGAAATTTAGCTGTTGTAGGCCCCTATACAACCCATCGCAGGAAAAGAATATCATAGGATCTTGGACAAATTCAAATAAAGCCTACTGTTTCTCATTTTAATGCTCTGAATGTCAATCTGAATTCTGCTGATAGAGCTGGCCCTTTTAGTGTTTGTTTCAGTCCTTATTTTTAGTTTTACATCAAATACCTGGTAGAATTATGGTCAACAGAGGGAAAGCTGCCTCTTCATTTCTATACTGTATCTGACATGTGTACGTTTGGCTGTATGTATTAAAGTGTTGTGGGTTTGGGCTTGCTGGTATCCCGGATCTGAACCACTGCCTCATTGCTCATGGTTGAATTAATGATGTGAATGTCTAAGAAGCCATCACATTCATAAATCACCAGAAATGAGAGGGATAACTCATAAAAGTCTTTTCCTTTTGTTTAGTCATTTATCATTTTGCTTGCACATTAATAAACAGAGCTCCCCTGAGGTAAGCCATAGGAAGAAAGATTTTTCTTCCTAATTTTCCTCAATCGTGGCCAGTAGATCACAAATGAAGAAAGCGGGCTTGTCACAGTGTGCTGGTGTCTCCCTCTACCCATGACTGATAACAAATAAATCCGATGAAATGCCCTGGTGGATAATTATTTGTGTTTACATAACAGGCGCCAGGTTTCCGAGTCCGAGGTTGTCAGCTAGACCAAGCCGAAAGCGCACGCTGTCCATATCCCCCCTGTCTGACCACAGCTTTGACCTTCAGACCATGATACGGACATCTCCAAATTCCTTGGTCACAATTCTCAATAATTCTCGTAGCAGTTCGTCAGCCAGTGGTTCTTATGGCCACTTATCTGCAAGTGCAATAAGGTAAGAATTGTATTTGCTACCTGAATTGCATATTCTCATTTATGTGTCACACACCCCCAAATATGAATGCATACTCACATTTTTAAGTAACTTGTGGGGTGGGTTTTTTCTTGGGAATATGTGCATTTTGCAGTTTCTATAATGTATATTCATTGGAGCTTAATTTAAAGTGTTAAATATTTTTTTCTTGTTCAGAAAGGTAACCACAAGGAACTTTTTGGCCTATTCTTGTCCAGTGCTGGTAATATTTTGTCTAACCAGCAGGAACAGTGTGTGTTTGTGTGTCCAGCAATCTGTTTTCAGAGAAGAACCTCTAGGATAGGTTTGTGACTTAAGTCACTTGGGTTCTTCTGCCCATGGATATGATGGACAGTGAAATGTTCCTACATTACAATCATCAGAAAGTAAAGAAGAGGAATATGGTACTGTTCAATCCAAATGTTTGGATTTAACTTTTGGGTATTCAAAAGTTTGTTTGTTTTTTTTTTCCACGTATTGAAAGATTTGACATTCTCTGGCTAATTTTTTTTTATTGGTACCAAGTAAGTACTGTCATCAGAAATACTGTGATTTTCATTTGGCTGCTTCACTTGTGTGTGCAAGAAAAGAGTCAGGAATGGTTGTTCTGGAAGCAGAAGAGCAGAGTAGCAAATGAGATGGACAGAAGTTGTACAGAAAAGGGAAGCAAATAGGGCACAAAGGAGAGGGAACTAAAGGAATAATGTAAAAAGAAAAAAAGGAGAGGAAGAAAATCAAGAACTGCAGCAGGAAAAATGGAGATGCAACTGCGGAACATTTTTGTATTTGTGGTATGGCTATATGTTATCTGAGAAAAGCTCCTTTGGTATTCTAAAAAAAAAATCCCCACCTCTCCAAAGTGTCAGAAAATATTTGGCTTGTATTTCTAACCCTCAAAGAGTGCTTCTGGGCCCTGGATTAAAAGCAACTTCCACCTTCAATTTGCGATGAGGCAAAGGAATAAGTCCCTACATCTGTTTATTGAGATGAGGCACCCATTTTTAGGCAAGGCTCAAAAACATTACCAAGGTCCGGCCCCTGTATGGGCCATTCACTTAAAAAGTCAGACTTGATGAGCCTCATGGGTCCCATCTAACTCAGAATATTCTGTGAAATCTGTGAAATGCCTCTGTGGCACAAATGACACATTTACAGCTTTGAAAACAGGCTACGGGTGTTTTTACTCCTGTAGAAGACAGGGCACACAACTGGTGTGTTAGAAACCATGAGCTTGACAAATTCTGAGAGCAACAGCACTGCAAATATTGGTATTAGTGTAAGTGCTGTGTCTTCCTTTTTAAGCACTTTTAAATAGTCATGCTTGGTAGCTCTGATGTACTTGAGTAGCTGTGTGGTATTTCACAGGTACAGGTATTGCTCTCAATACAGTTTGGCAGTCAGTGGAGCCATGGTCCCAGTTATGAAGCTCCTTAATGAAGAATGTGATTTATATCAATGGCTGGCAGCAGTGGAGGTGTGCTATCTGCACTGTCATTAAGATAGGATGGCACTTAATAACTAAACTCCTTTCCCGTAGCTTGCAGCTGTGGTAAAGCAAATAGTGTATGAAAGTTGGCATAGTCTCTATAGTGGAGTAAGTCTTCTCTCCTTTTACTCTTCCAAAGCAAAGCTGGAGTCAGACGAATGGTTTTTTTGAAGACAGTTGTGGAACTGGAGGGAGTTGTGGGCAAAGGCTGAGTAAGGATGCTAGGAGTCTTTGAAGTGAGTCTTGTGAACTGGTGTCACTGAAGAGAGCAGTGCTTGTGTGACTGAACCTGTGGTTGACCAAAGCTTTCAGCGCTTTCTGATCATACTTCCCAGGAATGCATAAGACAAAATTTCATTTAAAGACAAAATTTAAATTAAGATTTTTTTTTAATCATTTTTATTAGCATATGTTCATTCACCATGCACAGTTGGAAATGTACACCTCCATTCTTCTCAACTGAAAGGAAGGAAAGGGAGAGCTCTTCTTCCTGCTTTACAACTCACCTCTGTTGATGCCTTTTAACTTCTCCTGTGTGAACCTGTCTATATAAACCAAAATAAACAGTGATGTAAGGTATTAAACCCAAACCACATTTCATTGCCTTAATAAATTCCAAGACTAAATGCTAACAGGACTGTCAGTAAAACCTAATTTAATATTCACGGTCTTGCAAATAATGCATTCAGCACAAGAACTGTTGTGTTGAATAAAACCATAGGTTCATCCCATTTGATATCCTATCAGCAACTGTGATCAAAGTCTAGAAAAAAACCATTTCCTGGTGTAAAATCCCAGCTTCTGGAAACTTGCAGGTTAACATCATTGGAGTTGCTGCAAGAAAATGGTACTATTCAGCAAGCCACTAGATGGAATTGCAAAACAGAAAGAATTTCTACTTTTGATAGTATCAGTAGCATAAGCTATACTTAACATTACACAGTCCTTCTACTTTTTGTTATTGTTTCCTATGTTTTTTAACTTAGTCCAAGTAGTTTACACTTGATAGCATTTTTCATGGTAAATACCTGTCTAATGCTGAATATTTCCAAAAAACATCGGCAAGGTTATTAATTTATTCAAATGAAGTTAGGGAAAAAAGATATTTAACTCTACAAACTAGAAGAACTATTGCCTTTTTACTGGGAAGCTGAACTTTGCCAAGAATGTTGCCTAGATGATGTAGATGTAATCTTTGCTGTTCTTGAGAAATTGTCCTATTTAGTCAAGTGATAAGCCCTTAAGACGTTTCTATTAGCATATGTTAAATAAACTAAGCACTTGGCATGTTCCAGTCCAGGGCCCACAGATAGGGAGGAGGACCTTTCCCTGCAGCTGCAGTTCTGGTCCCTCCTTAGGAAACCTGTGGAGGCTCAGCTGTCTGTCCAGCCATAACAGTTTTGTGAAACAGAAAGCAGTCTTTAGAGGAAACAGGAGTCAGCCCAGAAACTGTACAGGCTAAGCAAGTTGGCACAAAATGCCTTTCTATAACACAACATAGACTTGCAGCAGAAGAAAGAAAAGGCTGCAAAATAAATCACACAGAAGCCGCTCATTCAGAGAATGGAGGTACTGCCCCCTTGTGATTGTGCTCTGATACCATCTTTAACTTCAGGGTTCTACAGTATTTATAGGGCCCCTCTCTTCTTCAATGCACAGCCTGAACAGCCTGGGCATCCTCTGTGGATCAGTGAGAGCCGCAGGACACTCTCTCACCTGTCCAAGGCAGCCTAAAAGAGGAGGGAGCCTTGTATCTGGTTGTTTGCTGCCTGGAGGGTAGATTGTGCTCTTGCAACACAATTCTAGACTGATGCTGGGCAAACTGAACTAGTCAGAAGTGACCACCAAGCTCAGTTTGTCTTCTGCAGTCCCAGCCTACCACTCTTTATTTTGCAGAGGAGTCAAATTGCTCACAGCCATGACTTGAAGATACTGACAGCTGTTTTGAACATTTTGTATACTGTGTCATGTTAACTAGCCCAGATCTTCTTGCCTGAAATTGGGCAACCACAAAGAGTGACACTTTTGCTACCATCTTTCTTTAATTCATGGTCCTGTGCAAAATGGAACCTCAGAGGGAGGTTGAAAGCATTAATGTTTTGTGAAGCAATTAGATTATACAGTGATGAGCACAGTGGAGAAGCTCAGGAGGGTGTCAGTAATTATTTAGTCACTGATAGTTTAAATACAAAGGAAGGAAGGCCTACGGGCGTTACTGTGGGCACAGAGAAGAAAAGTAACAGAGGGCCTCTTGCTGAAGGCTACTGTGTGTCTTGTGGACTGAATGAGTTCAGAATTATGCAGAGGGGGAAAGGGGTGTGCTGTCACATAACTAAAAGCTGATGAGTCAGCACATGAAAATATGGGCAGGTTTACTTCTGGTATGTTTAATTTGTGGATTCAATGCTCTTTTATACCCATTTTTGCAAAGATACTATTTGTGTTAAGAAAGTGTCTTGAGGACCTCACTGGTCTTTGCATTGGCTAAAACAAAAGGCTGAAAGATTACATCCTGTGCTTCATGCAGCTTTTCCACATTGGATCCTCTGTATGAGCCCTGTGGGATGTTGAGGATGGAATCAGGTGAAGAGAGCCACATTTTGGTCTCTGTTTGTACAAAGTCAAGCACAGAAGTGCTCTGGTCTTTGACATGGGTACTACTTTAGATTGAATAATAAATACTAGTAGTTCAGCACAAGCCAGAAAGAGCTCTGCTGGGCGGGTGCTGTGCCATTGTCAGCTGGCAGTGTAGTGCTGTATCCTGACTACTGGCTGAGTATTTGAAAAGGAGATGACACTCCTGCTGACAGCTAATAGTGGATCTCCTTTTGCACACCAGGTAGAGCTTCTACTTTGTGCATTTGAAAACACCTGGTTTAGGTCTCAGCTGGGAGAGATTATTCAGAAAGGAGATGTGTGAAAGAGCATCAAATGAGGATAATCCTTCATTTGACATTTACTCATTTGGTTACCTGCCTCAGTCCTGCAGTGCAGCACCCCTGCTATTAATCCTTTGTCAAGACCTACTTAATATTATATCTGCTACCTGTAACAATTATTAGACTTTGCACTTCAGTAGCACTTCTTTTTGAGAGACAGCATGGTTTAGAGTGAGTATAGAGGGGGTAATCACTTCCCATGATATTAAGAGTACTGATTCAAAACCTTTACGAAAGACTAACTGGTCTTTAATAAACAAAGGAGGCTGGGACTTAATGTTCTATAAGATTTTAAATTTAGAACCTCTAGTCCTTTGGCAATGCTGTGATACCAAAATGACAAAGTCAGTTTTCAGAAAGTGATCTGAATTCCCTGTCAGATCCAAGGCGTTTAAGTCAGTAGTTCTGCCTACTACATGTGACTTTCTTCGGGTCTAGGCCGATATAACTGTGAATATAACTTAGCCATCTCATAACCTGTGAAAATTCAGTATCATGTGAGCACAGGAACCCTTTGGGATCTCCTTGAAGGTTTGAAAGAAACCAAGAAAACACAG